ATGTTACATCATGCTTCAAGACAAAATTTCATTTATTTGTGACTAGAAATAAATATTTCACAATATATAATTATATATTAGTTTTGTGATTTATCACTATGCTTTAATTATGTTCAATTTGTAACAATGAAAATACATCCTGCATAGCAGGTATATACATTGTGATTCATAACAGTAGCAAAATTACAGTTATGAAGTAGCAAGGAAAATAATTTTATGGTTGGGGGTCATCTTTCTCCAGTGGAGTGGGTGGTGGGTTTGAAATGCTAACCTTGTGACAAACAGCGGATTTTGTAACCCACTATGCCACAAGGGCTTCTAATCTGGACTATATACCTTTTTATTTCTTTTTCTTATTATATTACTCTGGCTTGTATTTCTAATACAATATTGACTAGAAGTGGCACCCTTGTCTTATTTCTGATTTCGTTAAGAAAGTCTGTCTTTCTTCCTTAAATAAAATGCTGGCTGTTGGCTTTTCATATGTAAGCAGAATCATGTTGAAGAATCTCTTCTATTTCAATCTCAGGTTTTTATCAAGAAAAATATTGGATTTTTTTCGAGTGGTTTTTTTTACATCGATAGAGATGATCATGTGGTTCTTTTCTTTTATTCTGTTGATATGGTGCATTGATTGATTTTTCTAATGTTGAACCATTACTAGATTAAATCTCTGAGTCGTTGTGTAGGACTCTTCACATGCTAATGGTTATGATCACTAGCAATTTGCTTACAGTTTTCTTTTCTTGTGATATCTTTGTCTGATTTGCGTCTCGGCGTTCTGTTTGATTCACAGAATGAACTACATATTATTCCTTCCTTCCCTCACTTTTTTGGAACAGTTAAAACAGGATTGATGTTAATCACTCTCAAGATGTTTGGTAGAATTCCCCATTTGAAGCCATATGATCCAGGAAAAATTTTTATCACTAATTTGATCCCATTACAGATCTCTTCAGAGTTTCTCTTTCCACTTGAGTCAGTTTGGGCAGGTTATGTGCTTCTAGATGTCCATGACATCTAGGTTATCCAGTTTGATACTATAACATTTGAGCCATTTTGTCATAATTAACTTTATTTCTATTGGGTGAGTTGTAATGCCCCTCTTTCAATTTTTTCTTAGATTATATCTATCTTTTCTCTTCTTTGTCAGTCTACCATTTGTCAGTTTGATTGATCTTTTCAAGGAATCAACTTCCAGTTTTATTATCTCTATTGTTCTTCTGTTTATTTATTTATTTATTTACTTATGTTCAGATCTTTGTTATTTCCTTTTTTTCTGATAGGTTTAAACTTAGTTTCCTCTCTCTAGTGCCTAGAGTTAGACTGTTAATTTGAGATCTTATTTTT